AAGGAGCCATCACTTTTAGCTTCTAAGCTCTTCATTATATGATATTGTGAGTGGGGAGGATAGGATAGGGGACTCTAAAGTTTTGAGTTTGGTGCTGATAAAATCAACACATGATTGGTGAGAGGAGCTATATTCAAAGTCATCCACACAGAGGAGTAGCTTCTCATCCAGAGCCAGGCTTGAATACCAGATCATTGCACTAATGACACCTAAGTTACTAGGACTAACGTTTTGGCCATTTCTGTTTTCGTTTAAGAGGTCAGACTGCTTTGTGCCTTCTTAAAAAAATTTTCATTTATATGAAGTCAGTAATGATAGTACTTTAATTGGAAACCTAGCCTTGAAATGGTGAACACCTGGGAGCATTGTTAATCAAGCTTACTACTGAATTAAATCTACAGAATTCTCATGGATGTATTAAGAAGATTGATGAAAATAAACATTTCCTTTCCCCTCTAGCATGAACGTACAGAGGAAGGAGGTCAGTTGAAGAAACTGGGACCAAGTCTGCTGAGAGTGGCCGTCCCTGTCTAAGGAGAGAGATACTGAGGCTGGGCCATGCGTGGGGGTGCTTTCGGGGCAGCTTGAATGGAAACACTCAGATTATCCACACTTGGCCTTGCTCTGCCTTCAGACTCATTTAGTAACCTTTGGATAATGAATTGGCATTTCTGCTCCATCAATATCTGAAATGAAGGGGGCCCTGGATAGAAAATATGGTTCATTTTCTTGCTTGCCTGATCGATTCATTCTTTCATTCAACAGATATTTATTGAGTATTCACTCCTTGCTAGGTACCCTGAGGACAAAAATAGACCCAAATCTCTGCCCCCCAGAAAGCATATATCCTAAATAGGTGCTTAGAGAAGACATTTGAAACTAAATCCATTCTGTGTCAGGTGGCGATAAGTGGAAAAAAATAAAATTAAATTAAACAGGGAAGTACTGAGAGAGTGCTCTTGGTAAGACTGCTGATTTAAATATGGAGCCAGGAGGGTCTCAGGGACAAGCTGAAGGAAAGAGGGGAAGGACAGAGGAATTGAATATCTGAAGGAAGAGTCAGTGCTAAGGCCCGGAAGCAGATTCAGTGCCTGCTATGTCCTTCCAGACAAGGTAGCTAGAGCTGAGTGAGCCAGGAGCAAGAGCAGGCAAGGGTGGACCTGAGGGACTAGTTGTAACTTGAGCCTTTTCATTGCTGGAAAAGGATATTTCTCCTCCTGGGGGATGTGATGAATTAAGAACTTGGCGTCTGGTTTATACCGTTGCCTCCTTTGAGCTTGGCTAGCTTGAGTTCATCTCTTAGGAAACAGAGCCACGCTTAGATTCTTTCTCGTACATTTTTGCCCCTGAGAAGTGGAGGACTCGGGGACTCCTTCATGAGGGTGCCTGCTGGGTGGCCAGCAAAGACCCCTAACCTTATTTTCACCCCATACGTTGCCAACCAATGTTTGAAAAATGAGTGCTGCACAACAGAATAGAAGAAATCATAATTATTCATGGAGATTTCATGAACATATTGAGATACGAGGATTTACAGTTAGAGTAGGAGATACCGTGGACACAGAGTTGTGAACAGTGAAGTTCATTTTAGTATACTCAGGGACTTTGGAGTGACACAGGCCTGGACTTGGACTATGGAAATGAATCTCATTCACTGTGGAAAGTTCAGAAAGTTCATTAAGTTATCTGGGAGTTTAGTTTTTCCACCAAGAAGAGGATAGCTGAAGAATGAAATAAAGAAAAAAGAATGGTTATAGAGATGACACAGCCCCGTGTGCCTGGTGACATGTTTTCCTTCTCCTCCCCCACCTCTTGATTTCTTCTTTGTACTGCCATATTCAAAACTGCTGCCCACAATGAATCATTATGCGGTCTTAATTAATCATCCATTTTGGCACCGTAGGTTTCCAACAAGGCTCTTAAACAGGGAAGCCCAGATTTGCACAGAGACCAATCTATCTAATCAGCGGGCCATTTGTGCTGCCTTATACCCTCCCGACTCTCCCAACCTCCTGCCTTGCTGGGAGGTGAGATCAAACTCCAAATGCAAAGGCACTTAACCCAGTGCTTGACCGTTGCTCATTCTTAGTGAATATTAATTTGTATGATTTTTTTCCCCTGTAGTTTTTGGAAAAATTTTATGTTAATATGTGAATTACTCATGCTATAAAAAAATAAGACAAAAACTGAGTGAGCCCCAATGGTTTGTTTTATTGATAATAATGATATAATTAAGAAGGTATTTTTATCCTTGGGTCTGAAATATTGGTATCTACTGAATGTGCATTGGGTGCTGTGAGGACTAGTATTATATGTCAGCTTGATTAGAGTTCTCAGTTACACATAAACCCCAATTTATGTGTGCTGCTGAAGACATTTTGGAGATGTGCAGAACATTTGCAGTCACTTGGTTCTAAGTAAAGGAGATTGTCTTCAACAATGTGCATGGGCTTATGCCATCAGCCACAGAGTCTTAAGAGCAACACTGCTTTCCCTAGGAAGGAGGAATTCCTCCTCAAGATTGCAGTAACAGCTCCTGCCTGAGCTTCTGGACCAAGAGTCTGGCCTTCAACTTTTGCAGCTGTTAGCTGCCACAACTGTATCAGCCAATTCCTTGAAATGAATCTATATGTATGTATGTATATGTATATACATGCATATGTAAATTATTTTTCCTGTTTCCATTTCTCTGGAGGACCCTGGCTGATACAGGTGTGTTTGAAGCCCTATTTCTTCTTCTTTCTTTATTTGGTCAATACTTCTTTATGCCTTATTGGCATGAAATGAGTTTACTAAAATAAAGCCTGAGAAGCTCTAAAGTGCATAGTCCATTGCTTTCAGCTTCCTGAAAATTTCTATTTGGTCCATCTGGGCAACCTGACCCTGGGATGAGGGATCACCCATCTACTGACAATGGCTGGCATAGCCTGAGGTTCATGGGGCACATTGCTTGGGTTCTAGGTGAACCTAGAATGAACATTAAATGTCAAGTGGACAATTTGTCTCCAAAAACACATTCATCAAGAGATCGTGGAGTTGAGACTGGTTGATTTGCTGTTCTCTATGTAGACACTCAGAGGATAAGTAGGACACAAAAACTCTGCTGTCTAAGTGAAAATACATTTGCGTGGTGATGGCAGCAACCGCAATTTCTAGAATGAATGCCCAGGAAGACAAATTGCCACACGAAGAGGTATTACAGGGAGTATAAATCTGCTTTCATTTCTGCTAGTCTGTCCATAATTGTGTGGAAATAAACCCCTGTTGAAAAGTGAGACTCAAAACTATGATATCATCTGAATTTAGTGTCACTGCTCTGAGCTAAAGATTTGGGTAGGTTCCAACTTTCATTTTCTGTCTCCAAGTTAATTTTTTCTGCTTTATTCCTTTTCTTCATTCTAAAGCTTTCCTTGAGGCACTTTCAGAGTTTGGGAAAAAAAAATCTTTTAGCACATTTCCAATGCACCATTTTCTTATTGTATATCTCATTATGTGTACTCTTCAGTCAAAGAATGTAAGAATAGCTTCCTACAAATTTGGCTATCAGATACTTATAAGAAATGGCAGGGGCAAATCCCACTTCTAGAAAATAAATCAACCTAAGACCATAAGCCAGCAATAACCTGCTAAGAACTAGCTTCCCTTGGGAAGACCAGAAAGGCTTCCTGTAGGTAATGAGAGCAGAACTTGCAAGTTGATGGCCAACCTGCACTGCTTCTCAGATGGTGGTAACTCACCCTGGCCACAAAAGCTTCAGACTGAGCGAGCTAAGATATCTGGCCGGGGACAACAGAGCTGTCACCTCAAAAGCCCTCTCCCTCCACATCACCAATTTGTAATTCCTGGAACACTCTCTTTTGGCAGAGTTACTTTCTGATTCTCACATTGTTTTACTTTTGCTTATCCCTTCAAATGGCTTCTCTTCCCTTCTGTCTTATTTTTTTTCTATTTTCCACAGTTATTCCTTCTAACTTGCTTTTCTTTCAAATGTGAATTTCCTATATATTTTTTTGCCTTATTTCCCCTTTGCATTTTAACCTCTTGTTCTTCACTAGTTCTTTGTATTTCTTTTTTCCTGTTCTTAATTCTTCCTCTCCCACTGATTCCTTGTGGCTTTAATCATTGCTTAGGGGCTTAAAATCACCTAGTGACTGACATTTTTCTCACTGAAAGGAGAAGGACTTATGACCTTGAGGAAAACGAGCTACAAAGACTCAACACATTCAATTCACAGTGTAATTCTTTCCTTTCTTCCCTGTGCTTTTGCCTGGGATTAGAGATGGACGGCTTACTGCAACTCACAATGGCAAAGCACTTCAGGGCTGACTTCTCAGCTTTGAAACCACATGACAAGGTGTATCTGAGCTCCTATGTTTACACTGATTGCTAGAATTTTAAAATTGCCCTTTACTAGAAAAAGCTTACTCAAGTGAGCCTGGAGGGAAAATGCCATTTTACACTATGATGAACCAACCCAGTCTCCTCGGTCCTTCAGGGGCCTTCATTCTCACCCCACCCTCACTCCTATCCCTTCATTTTTTTTTCACCTGAAACAAAAGTTCACAAATGGGCTCCTCAGAGAGGGTGCAGGAAGAGCTCCAGGTCACCTGGGCCACAGGCTGCTGAGATGGCTCCTTACAATGCCATCCACCAAGCAGGTCCCCTTGGGTGACTTGATCAGAAGTAAGATCTTTACAAAGAACAGTAAAATAGATTCTTTAGGACCATACATACGATGTCATCATCTGGCATTAGAAAATATCAGATTGCCACCAAAACATCAAATACATGTGACGCAGAGATTTCACGTTAGCTCCATGTAACACTTAGGTATGAGCTATACTTTTAAAAAAATCATTCTTTTTTATAAGTTGGGCTGTGGATTTGCTTTACCTTTCGGTGTTTCTGGAGGAGCAGGAGCGCATACCTAGATGACAAGCGCTCAGAGTCATCCCCTGCCATGAGGCAGGATCTGTTAGGTCCCCACTACTAAAGGATACTTGTGGTCGAAGCCATACCACATCCTGAAGAGCCGAGCGCTCTCCGTCTTTGTCACATTTTTATCCAAGTTATTTGCTCCCTGGAGAGAGAGAGAGACCATAGAAAAAGGCATTGGATAGTCAAATATATTTTAATATAAAAATACATGTCCAACTAAATTAAATTTAACCATATTAAAAAAAAAACCTTTGTAAGTATAAGCATTTTTTTCTTAAATGATGGAGATTCTGCCAAGCAAATTAGCTCATAGATCTTGCTGTGTGGATGAGACTTCTGGGATAATTCAACATTTACTTCTCTTAATAATCCTAATTTTATTAAAGAGGTAAGAAATGCCACTTTTTTGACTTCAATAAAAATGACATTTCTGTCAGATGGCCATTATGGGAATTTTGCTGTTTACTTTTATCAAATTTGGAACGAGTGGCATTTATTTATGGATTACTGAAAGGTCAAGGCTAAAGAAATGATAACAGTCTAATAATTGTTCCACAAGTTTCCACTCATTTTCCTTTTGACAGATCACTACCAAGGCTTGTTTTTTGATTTCTTGCTGTTTAGGGATTAAGAGTTTTCAGAGAGATAGTCCTGATGAGGGGGGGGGGAGAGGGGGGGCTGCTGTGAGAACTGAATGTGTGTGTCCCTTCTCCCTTCCACAAGGGCTGTAAAGAAGGGAAGAGGAAAAGAGAATTAATGACAAAAGAGAAAGCGAAAATATGTGATGGTGTTCACATAAGCGTGGAAGACGAAAATGTGAGAAAGTGGAAAGAAGGTGAAAAAATTCTGTGAACTTTAGAGAGAGAGATGATAAAAAATTTCAGTCTGGGGAGAATGTTCAGTAGCATATTCAGAAAAGGGAATTCCCACAGATTCCAATTATAATGATCTCTGCTGTTAAAAGTCCTTGTATCTTAATGTGAATTTTTGCTTTTTCTAGACCCCCAATTTTTATCCCCAAATCATACCATGAGTTAGCCCCGTTCCCAGGTGGCCATTCTTCTGAGGACTTGATACATGGAAGACAATGGAAGCCCATTGGCTGCACCAAAGGCAGCTCTTCCACAAGCCAGGCTGATTTGCTTTCATTTTATTTTACTTTATTTTTTTTTTTATTTTGGCTTTTTCCCAGCCAGTTCCAATATCAGTTGATGATAAATAGCTGAACATAAAGGGCTGTATTCTGTCCTCTGAAACATGTGTACCAGCAGATGCTGTGGTCCATCTCTCACAAATGAAATGGGAATATGAGAAAGTAAAGCGGGGTCTATTTTTAGCCGGCCATTTATCCTTTGTCTAAAATGGTTGCAGCAGAGACTCACAGAGAAATTAAAATTCCAACTTTTCATTGCTCTTCTCATGGGTGAAGACCTCTGGTTCTTCAAATTTTGTTGTTTCCCAAATGGTGTTCCCTAGTATGCCACTCACTGTTCACGATACTGATGGAAATGCTGTGCCAATCACTCAGGGAAGGATGAGTTGGATAGTGTTAAACAGCATTTTCAGACCCAGAACTTCTCAGAGTCTTAATTGTTAAATGAGCATCATAAATTTTCAAGAGGGAAGTTTTTCTCAAACTTACTTGGACATGAAATCAATTCCATGTTTCCATTTCTTACTGCGGGACACCAAGTATCAGTCTTATTATTTTTTAAAATTCTGATAGAGCTAAAATGCCATGCCTTCCTATCTAAAGTTAGAATGCATTCATATTTCCCCCCAAAAGGAAACCCCTTTGTCTGGATATCCCTTCCTCTTTCCCTGCACCTATCTCTATTTCTTTCCCACCAAAGGTGTCGAATTTGCAAAATGACTGCTGCACAGAGATTTTCTTCATCATCTTGCAACATCTGTAACTTATTTCTGGGCCACCATCCCCCAACTGCATGTTGAATTTCAGCTACTGGCAGAACAAATCTGCTCACAGTGAACCAAACTAGTTAGAAAAGCGCTGGGATGACAGTGGGAACTATTCCCACCCCCACCCCCCCGCCTATTTTTTCTTTTGTTTAAGACAAATAAGGACTTATAGAGTGTTGTTTATCAACAGGCAAGGGTGATTTTTGACAGCTGATAATGTCTACTGACGACAAGATGCAAGATTTGAATAAAACTGATAAAAAGGAGTGCCAGCAAATTTCCTTTTTGTTTGTTTTTCTGTAAGGAGGGTGCTGAGCGGTGAAGTCTCCTGGCAGTCAGGAGCCCCGCATTCTAGCACCGCCCCCTGCAGTTGCTCAGCTGAGTGACATGGACAATAATGCAGTCTCCAGCTATTGAGCGCTCATCAACACTAGTTAGCAAGCTAGGGACATTATCCAGCCACTAATTTTTTCATTCATTACTTTTCAGTTCTCACCATAACCTGTCAAGGTGGGGTGTGTTAGCACTACTTGCACAGGAGAAGCCTGAGAGCTGAAAGAAGAGAAGTCAGCTCCAAGTCATACGGATAAAGGTAACAGAGCTGGAATTGCAGTCTAGAACCTCTGGCGTCCAAAGACGATGTCTTTTCTGCAGCATCTCACTCAGGTTTTAAATGTTGGAAAGCACAGGCATTTTTAATCAGCTGACTAAACTCACAGGGCTGCAGTTTTCTTGTCCGTAAAATGAATTGAGAAAATTGGGTTGGTCTCTAACTTCCTAAAATCATATGGAAATACTATAAATATTTATATTTATATATACACACAGTATATATATATGTGTGTGTGTGTGTGTGTGTGTATGTACTATATATAAAATATTATGTATGTGTGTATGTTTGTGTGTATATATATATTCATTTATTTATAATTATTTTCTAGTACTGTGGATTGAACCCAGGGGTACTCTACCACCGAGCCATATATCAAGCTCCTTTTACTTTTTTAAATTTTGAGACAAGGTCTTGCTAAGTTGACCAGGCTGGCCTAGAATTTGCAATCCTCCTGTCTTGGCCCCCTGAGTCTCTGGGATCACGGGTGTGATGGGATTGCTGTGTGCCACCGTGCTGGACAAGGTAACACTTCCTGAATCCTCACCATTAGCCAGGTGGTATTCTAAGTGATCTGGGTATGTTAACTCTTCAGATTCTCACAATAATATGGTAAAGGATGTTCTGTTATTATTCCTGTTTTACAGATGACGAAACCGAGGCACCTGGGGAGTGCAAAGCTTTCCAAGCAAACCTGTCATGCCTCTCAGCAGCCAAGATTCTTCCCCTCTAAATGGAGCTCCAGGTGTCAGCAGGGCTCAAAGTGGGGCAAAAGTCTTAAGTTCTCAGGGAGATGAGGTCAGGATAGTGCTGTGCTCTTAGAGACTGAGATGGAACAGCCATGTACCCTCACATCTTTACTTGGGTGACTGGAGAAGTCCTTCATTTCACTACTTTGTAAAGAAATATACTGGGTTCCTATTAGAACACAAGATCGAGAAAGAGCTTTCTCTCCGGTGGGGGAAATTTCACTGATGACCCAGTGTTGACTTTTCTGCTGATACTAGTTAAAATTTTCAGTGTATGTCTTAAGTATCTGTTGGCCCAGTTCTGGATCCATTCATTTATTTCTCTGAAGTTATTGATGACTTAATAACTTGGTTATGAAAGGCCATCAATAAATGAGTAGAAATAAATGAGTTAGTCTAGTGTGTACCCAGCTTGTGCACTGGGGGTTGAAGATAAATGTGCCAAAGGAAGGCCAGGCTTTGCAGCCCTGTGGACAAGGAAGTTATCTGATGAGGCAGCACAGAGAGCAGGTCCCCGGGTGGGTCCAGATGGGCAGAGGACAGCAGGTGGCTTCAATCTATCTGGATTATTCTGAAGTAGAGATCAGCTCACACCTCAAGGACAATGGATGTGAGCAGTGATCAGAAGAATCTGGAACTCGGTGGTATTTTCCTTTATCACCAATATTTCTTCTCTGTGAGATTCCTTTAGTCCAGAGGGAGAGTGATGTGCATGGTGGGGCAAACAGGAATCTGGAAACTTCCTCCATTTAGTAATAATAGTACACTTACCACCTCTGTTTTGTAGCTGTAAATGGAAACTGGAGATACAAGTGTGTTGAATCTCAACTTTTATTTGCCTTGATGTTTCTAAGAAGCAGAAGTTTTGATATATGTGGGATTTCTGGCTCCTTTATTATCCTCTATTTCTGGAAACATTAAAAAATGACTGGGCCATTGGATATCTTTCTTTATTTCCCTTAAACCAGAGATTGGGACCAGCGATTGGGAAAATGACTGGGCACAGTAGAAAGGGGCTGGTTTTCTTTTTAATGACCCACCTCATGCTTAGCAGCCCCCAGAGAAGGAAAACTCTAATGGTACTCTTTAATTTGGACTTATTTGAATCCCTGTGAGTAAACTAAGGGCTCTTGCCAGAAGTTTGTGAAAACCAGACACTGAAGCAAGAAGGGATTGTTTGTTGCATTAATTTTAATAAAAAGAACGAAGCAAATGTAAATACATTCCTCTGTCAGTATTCAAATAGGGGGCCCTTGCTGAGTGAGCTGGATAAACCCTGTTCTAAGGTAATCACATGGGGCTTGCTCGTTACCTCAAGGGGATACAAGGGATTATGGGCGAAAGGCAAGATTTTCCTTTATATTCCTCCAGATTTCATATTTAATATTAATGTCAGTGAAAGTTGAGTCGAATGATAGCAAAGGCAAATGACTATCATAACAAACCCACAGGAGCTCCTTCTGGGTTCCCAAGCACTTGGGTAGTATGTGTGATGTGGGAATGCAGTCCTTAGTACTTTCACTTTACCATCTCCGTCCAATGTGGAGTGTGTTTATATAATAATTTCAAGTTCATTGCCATAATTTTCTAATTACCATGGAGAGAACCAGCTTCTGTGCCATTAAAGGGAAAAATTTCTGGATTCTGAAGAGGAACCATAGTATAATTGAAGGGCAAAGAGGAATTTCTTAAAAAGTCAAGTCATGGATTCTTAGTGTTCAACATAGAAAGCACTTTATACAAATATTTTAACCTTTCCTGTATCCACATACATTCATAAATGTTCTCAAAAAGACAGAATCAGAAAATGCATGTGTAAGAAGGAGAACATAAAGGAGACAATCAGCCAAGCACGTATAAAAC